GACAATTTTAAACCGTCGCAATCAACAATGGTAACAAAAATCAAAAGGATATTCACGAAAGTATTTAACTATTGTCATTTTCAATTTATGTCAGTTCCAACCAGTCATGAAATAGAGTTCACGACAGTTTTAAACCGTCACAATCAACAATGAAAATAAAAATCAAAAGGCTAGTAACGACGGTCTTTAACCGTCACTATCTCCAGTTTAGGTCAGTTCAACCCCGTCGTGAAATATAACGACGGTTGTGTGTGACGGTTTTTTCAACCGTCGCTAAACAGCCTGGGGACACACTTTTCTGCGACGGTACTACAACCGTCGTAGAATGTAATTGGTGGTGGTTTTAATCGTCGTAACCTGCCAAAATAACCGTCGCAATCCATCGTTTTTCTTGTAGTGAACAAACAAATCTTTTCTTCCAATCATGTGTGATGAGCATCCTGAGTCCAAGTACCACTGGCCCTGGAATCTCTCTTCGTCTCTTGTTGTGACTATCAGCAACATCTCATCTTCATATTTCGCCAGCTTTACATCAGTTTCTTGATTCTTCTTCTTTTCTGGACAATCACTAAAACAGTGACCATACTTCTAATAATTGAAACACTGAATGTGAATTTTGTCAGGCTTTCAACTACTACGTGTTCCTCTACCTGCAGCACCACCTCTTTGGTTGCCTTAGTTCTAGGTTTTTCTCTGATTCGACTAGTTTTCTTCATGCTAATTTTGAGCAGTCGAATTTATGTAGTTTCCTCTACCTTTGTTGTTATTCCAGATTCCTTTGCCTTTCCTTTCTTTTTTGACTGCGCCTGCAAAATCATATCGCTCTTCGAATTTCCTGTAGCTCTTTCAATCATCATTTGTTCATGAGACTCAAGCATCCCTTGAAGCTCTTCCTTCTTCAATACTGACAAGTCTTTTGACTCTTCTATGTCTACTACCACGTGGTCAAATTTTGGAGCCAACGACCTTAAAATCTTTGACACAACAGATCTTGATATCAATACTTCTCCACATACCGTGATTTGATTCACCAGCTTTATAACTCTGGTGAAAGAAATCTGTTATACTTTCGTTGTCTTCCATCTGAAGTCATTCATAAGTCTTTTGTGAGTTTGTAACCTCACCTCTTTCACTTTCTTTGCGCCTCCAAACGATTTTTCAAGATTCTCCCAACCTTCTTTTGTTGATTCTACATCACTAACCTTTTCAAAATTATCTAAATCAACACATTGATGGATTATAAAGAGAGCTTTATAATCTTTCTTCTTCAATTATTTATATGTCGCTTTATCCTGATCTGTCACAGTTGCTGCAAGCGGTGATAATCCCTACTTCACAAGATCCCAAAGATCTTGGTAACAGAAAACCACTTTAATCTGCTTGAACCAATTCTCATAATTATCTTTCTTGAGAATTGGAAGATTTGCTGGAAAGTGATCGTTCGAGTGATTCATCGCCATTACAGTTGTTCTTCTCTTGAATTAAAATTGGAGCTCTATATATCAAATGTTGGAATTCAACCATGATCTATGGTGAATTCTTCTCAATCTTGATCTCAAGATTGTTATGTAATGACAATGAACCAAAACCAAGAATAAGTTTAAAGAATACGAGTATGAATTGCAGAGTAACTCTCTGCCCACAACTGTGAAATTTTATTATCATTTTGCAACTGCAAAACCATGATTATCAAACTTGATGATTACAATGATAAAGGTTCCTTCCTATTTATAGATTTAGGTTAACTTGCATCTCAAGTTAAAACTCAAACTATAAAAGTCCAAAAATATCTAATATAATTTTTTTAAATCAAATCTAATCTTTTTAAAACAAAGAATATATATTTAACAGTTGGTAGATATAACTAAAAAATATGGTATTGTGTGAACAATTAAGGGTTGTTGTTGTAATCTACTCTGAGCCATCAAATTTGTGAGAAGGGATATTATTGAGTCATGTCTAGCATCCTGAATTTGATGTTGATTGTTCATCTTGGTGTATGTTTCCATTTGGTGTTTCATATAATCTTATATCCATTTAGTGATGGATATTATGTGAGGGCAAAGTCTCATATATAGATGTGCTCGTTTCGATGATGTCAAAACTCAACTCCATAGAAGAATATATGTCAGACGTTATCATCTTATCGAAGTTGCATGTTTTGTCTCTTATAATTCAAATGTTCGTAAAAATCACGATTGTTGCATATAGATAGCCAAATAGGTGTGTCACATAGGGTTCACTTAGTTGGTGTTGGTTGTTATACTATAGGTTTCAACAAAAGCATCATAAAGTATGAAAATAAGCATTTTTGAGTGTTTCAGGGCTTTGAGTCGACCAAAGACTTGTTCTGGTCGACTCACACTGCAAGTCATTTTGGTGTTTCAATCTCGGGAGGGCTCACGTTGACCCTCCGGTCGAATCATACTGTGAGCATTTTTATTTGGCTAAAAATGAATGTTATGCGTCGACGCATGGTCCTGTTTTCTGCACAATCTTACATTCGGGTCTGCTCAGGTCGACCCCTCTACTGCACAGGTCGACAGCTCGCTGTTTTGTGTCAAAATTATGTTATGTCAATTGACTTTGTGAATTGGTTTTTTTTGTTATGTCAGTTATGTTTGGTACATAAGTTCAGTTTACTCTTTTATTTCATAAAATTGAGAAAAACAAGAAAAGTGAAATAGGTGTCGATTTGGTTCTCATCATCTTCATTCTCTTCATAGCATTTCACAACAATTACACATAATCATCTTTGTTGTGCATTGTGCATTGTTAGAGGTGATAACGTTCGAAGCCGAAGATTGGGTTATCCGGTTCGGGTTGAGAAATCGACAGATTTTTCTTGAATAAAACCTTTGGGGTTTTTCCCTCCAAGATTCTCAGATTTTGGGGATTTTTGCACGATTCGTCTCATCACATATTCAGCCGAGTAAAGGTAATCGAGGAGCTGGAGGTTCCGTCGATTTAGTAACGGTAAACGGAGGATTGTGAGTGGGAGTTTCGGGTTCGACACGCGGGTTATTGAAATTAGTCGGGGCAGATTTTGAAGACCAGAGGTTGTTCAAAGATAGTGCCACAATCGTAGGTTTATTCACAGCTGTTGAAGTATTTGCTTCAACTTGAATCAAGGGGCAAGAAGAAATAGGATCTGCAATAACAATAGTGTTTGTTTGTTTGATAGCTATTTGCTTCTTGTATAAACTTTCAACAACAGGTTATATCTATCTATTAACAGGTCTCAATTCTATAATTAGAATTGAGGGCAGACGTACACGAGCGAGGACGACGGGGGAATTGCCTCAACAAATCATTGTGTCTTTTGTTTTACATTTATATTGCTTAATATACGTGTTTTTAGTACAAATGATTATATCAATCTAGGTCTGATTTGAGTTGTGCTAAAACTAATTTTGAACCTAGTACAATCATTGATTGTAAGAGGGAACTTGAGCACCTAACTCTCAAAACAGGACTCACTTGTAGTGCTCTGCACGCCAAGTGTTTGACAAATTGTCTGAACTAAAAACCTTGTTTGCTGTCTTTACATATTGTTAATATTTTAAAGGCATTAGGAATTGTCACACAATATAGTGAGCATAATCAAATTGAAAGTGTGATTAACGTAGTGATTCTCATATCTCGTTTATCCGATTCCATAGGCTTAACGCATATCCGATTTTCTAGTAACCGTTCATTTTAGACGTGTATAGTTCCTCGGCCGCTTTCGCAGTTAAACAAATTTTAAAAATCATTTTTATTGGTAACGCTGACTCTTTTAAGCAAGCGATCTATTCAACCTCCTTCTATATCTGCATCATCGTCTAACATATTATTGATTGCATCCTCAATATATTCAAGAGCAACTTGTATTAGCACCGTTCAAGTCCTTATAAAAAAGATTTGAAGGTTAAAAAGACATTGATTCAAGAAATGAAAGTACTAATGATATATTATAATAAAATTAAAATAAATCTAAATTGCAAAAAGAAGAAAAACATAAAACAAACTTTGATGGTTCATAAAAACAACTTCAATAAATAATATTTTTTTAAAATAAATAGGGTTTTCTAAGCTTAATGGATCAACGTCACTTCTAGAATCATAAAAGACAATGCTGAATAATTTAATAAAAGAGTAGTGTAAAATACTTAAGGCATCCCTTTTAATTTTTAATGTGGTCCTTAAGCCAATCAAATTCTTGTCTCTCTTTTAGGCTTAATATATATATATATATATATATATATATATATATATATATATATATATATATATATATATATATATATATATATATATATATATATATATATATATATATATATATATATATATTAATTCTTCTTTAGGAAATTTCCAAACAAACAATTTCAATGAAATCTTACAATTTCTTATTTCTGACTCAACACTTCCTACCAAAACAATCACAGTTTGTGGACATCACTTCTCCATTAGATTCAGTTATTATCCTTGGGGATGGAAATATCAGATGTAAAACACACAAATTTTCTTATAAGATTACAAGTTTACATATCACATATCTTTTAATGAACTTTTTTCTTGATTCACGAGTACTTTTAACACTGAAGAGTGTTGCGGCTCTCACTATTAGAGATCATACTAACTATGAGATAGAGCCCTCACTTGGAGTAGAAGCTTCATACCTCTATCCATCCTAATGTCAATGCAACAATGTGGATGAGTACTTTGAACAAACAAGCATTGTTAAAGTGTTTAATATCAATGAACATTTGCCAACATTTCAATTTCTTTATCATAAATTGATTGTTAAGTCTTTTCTTTATCTGTATGTAATGTAACTTTATTGCTGAGTTTTGTATCAACCACTCCTTGCCAAAGAACTAGCATTGTTAATTTGTTCAAAAACAAGTTTACACAATCTTAAACTGTGCTCACAAAGATAAACATGTAACATTTGAAAAATAGAATTTTCAATGCTAATATGTGTTCATTTTCCAAACATCCAAAACAAACAAGCTCTACATAAGTGTGTCTAAAAATTCACTGACTGTGGTGTATCTCAGCTGTGGATATAGTTCGGTACCGTTCACACCAGAGGATGGCTCAATATCAAAGTATGTATGATCTCCCTTTATGAAAGCAGAATATATAAAAATCATCTCAAAGTTTTCAGGGAAAGTTGTTGCTGCACAGCCACAAAAAATGCAGAAAGTATGTGAACTAGTGTATTTTTTTCAATACAGAAACTGCAACACATTCAACAAAGAGTACTATTATTATAATACCTTGGATTTTCTCGAGCAGATCTTCTTCCGAGACACGCGACCTTTCGAGCTTCTTCCCGATTTTAGTTTCCCACGATTCAACCAGCTCATTCAAAGAACAAACATTTCCGGGAGGTCTCAAGTACAAAACTTTATTCAACGTGCGGGGATCGTCGACCGCGTTGATAGTGAAGTCAGCAACATCACTTTCCTGCATAAACACGCCTGCAATTGAAAACAATTCACGAATAACTAAGCGCTTCAAAACCAACAATGATCTTAAATTCTTGAAGTATAGACCTTTTGTATCGCCATCACCGAATATGGTGACTTTGTCCCTTGGAGGAGCTTTTAAGCCAGGTTGAACAAGAGAAGGAAGCAAAACTTTCATAAAGAAATTGCAGGATATGAAAGTATATGGAATCCCTTCAGATTCCACAAGTTTCCTAATCTCAATTTTGGGTGCGTAGAAGTTATATCCATCTTCGAGTTCGCAAACTTTCGCCTTGGTAGGATCCGAGCCAAACTCAGACGGAATGAACCTCTGCAACCAACAAGTTATAAACAAATGTTGCACACATTTTTGCAAGACTGTAACAGGTTTGAAACTGCATAATTCAACAATGTGTACTACGGTTTACCTTGATTGAACCAAGTTGTTTGATAACCCTAATGAGAAGCTTTTGCTGCAAAGTTTGTTTAGCTGAAACAGCGCAAATTACGACATCTACTAGCTTCACAGCTTCAACAAGGCTAGCTTCATCTTGGAGAGAACCCTGTGGATAAAACATCAACCACAAGAATGAGATAAGGCTCAAACCAAATATTACAAAAGAGAGAGAAGAAGAAGAAGAAAAAACATGCTTTGAGAAGGGTAACTCCGGCATGGGAAAGGTTTTGAAGTTTATGGGCTTTGATTGGGTCGGAAAAGGAAGAATCTCTAACAAGAGCAAATGTTGGGTGACAAAATTTGAGGCTTGATTCTGCTAAATGGTAACCGAGACTTCCCGTAGCGCCAATTATCAAAATTTTGCTCTTTTCCATCTGATTCAATGTTGATAAACAACCTAGCTAGGTACTTATGAAACATTAATCACGATTTCATGTAATGATGTAACGGATTATCATTCGACAAGGTTCACCAAACAAATACCCATGATTTTGTTGGGTTTATTTTCATTAATCCATATATAAAACTAAATTAAAAAATAAGAATTGTTAGTATATGAAAATTTTAGACCAATACATTGATTATTATCTAAAAATAATTTTTTATTTTTTTAATAAATACTAGAAGAAGTATTATTTTGTGAATTTGGTTATATACATTTTTGGGAGCGGAAGTGAGTGAAAAATTTTGAAAAAAAAATAGAATAATTTTGGTTTGGAAAGTTTTGTAGGGTTTATTTTTATCCATAGCATCACAAATTCTCTAATTTGAGAAATTTAAAATTTGTATATAGGATAATTTTGACCGACTTATACAAATTGTTCAAATATAATTTTAATTATTATAGTATATAATAAAATTAAAAATATATTAATGATAAGTATTATTTTGTCCATCTCTACAAAATCTTTTTTCCAAAAAATATTTAAAATTTCTATATATATATATATATATATATATATATATATATATATATATATATATATATATATATATATATATATATATATATATATATATATATATATATATATATATATATATATATATATATATATATATATATATATATATATATATATATATATATATATATATATATATATATATATATATATATATATATATATATATATATATATATATATATATATATATATATATATATATTTTTTTTTTCAAAGTTCTTTCCCTTTCACTCAACTTCCAAATAAAACTCTAAAAAATATTTCTTCACTTATGATGGGAAAATACTAAAAGTTGTGAAATACAAGACTTGGGCTTCATTAGCTACCTTTACATGTGGTCCAACAATAAAAGTTATTGTATCTAAAAAAAAATAGATGAAATGTGTTATGGCACCTATAGAGTGGAAAAACACTATAGAAAATTAAAATTAACCCTCAAATTTTGGAGATACATCATGCATCTTGCACCAACGTTATGGCGTATCAAATGAGTGTCACCTTAGATGAGTACTGAAAAAAATTCAAGAGATACATCTCTGGATATTTTCAACAAATATATTTATAGTTGATCGGTCCAGTGGATATTTTCATGATGCATCTTCGGAAGATTGGGATGGAATTTTGAAATTTTCTATCACTTTTGCATGTCAGATATTTTCGGAGATGTGTCTCAGGAATAAATTGATAAAACACTGAGTTGCATGATCACACAACCATACTTGTTTTCCGCTCAAAACACTCACCAAAAACTCTTTCATTCTCAATCCATATTTTCACTTCAAATCTTCAATTTTGTGTCTCATAACATCAAAGGGAGTAAAATAAGTTGAAATTTCATGTAAAGATCATGTATTTCAAGCCTCAATGCTCACATTAATCTTGTTCTATGCCCCTGAAAAAATGTGTGTTTATTCTGTAGATACATTTTCAAAACGAGCATGAACTCATCCAGAAATGTATTTCAGGTATCTGTCTGTGTTCATTTTTCAGCTTTGTTTACAGAATTAACACTTATTTACTATTCTGAGGTAATTGTTTTCATTAGATATAGTGCACCTTGATGTTTTTCTCAAACATGTTGTCTCTAAATGTCAGAGGTATTGTTGTGAATGCGGTAGATGTTGGCAACTAATTTAAAAATGAGCAAGAGTTTGAATTTCGTGAATGACGATTTCTTTTTGCACCCTATGGCGTTCTTTCACACCATGTGACTTTCCACATATTCACCTTGATTCCGGAGATATATCTCTGAACGCATCAAAATTCAATTGAACATTAAAATATTTTGGAGATATATCTCTAGACGCACCTAAACATAAGTGAACGTTGAAATATTTTGGAGAAATATCTCCGGAATATTTTGGAGGTTATTATCGCGTCAGACTCTTCTCCCACACTTTTCATTTTCATTCACAAAACTCTTCCACTCTCTCATTCCCAAATTTCTCCAACTTCACCAAATTGTATTTCATCTGTCCGAGACTCAAGTAATCATCAATCATCATCCATTTCATCATTCAACATCTTTTAAATCATAAATTTTGGGTAAGTTTTTTGAGTTTTCGGTAAATATTTGAGTTTTGTTGTAAACGAGTTTAAATTCATTGTTAGGTGTCGAAATATTTAGAAATCAGATGAAACATAGTTTAGAGTAAGTACATGTATTGTTTGTTGCCTCAAATGGATGGTCAGGGCTTTATTTTTCACTCACTGAATAGCAAATGACGTCATTGTCGTGACCTCTGAGTTTTAGAAAATTCCAGAGATACATCTCCAAAAAAATCAACGTTTCATGTACTTCGGGAAATTTCGGAGATACATCTCCGGAATGTTTCCGTAAATATATCTCCAGAATTTCCTCAGTCTATTTTTTTTATAATATTCTTGGTCGTGTTGTTCTTTTACATAAACTCATTATACGGCTAATTTTACCTTGCAGACATAATAGCTGACAGAGTCGACCGATTGAGACTTGGACGAGTTTCCTAGCATGCATTCGTTCGAAGGGAGCGGAAGCAGTAGGTACCTCTGGTCAGGGAGAGGGGATTGAGGCTTGTACAAGTTTCCTAGAACGCATCCGTTCGATGGGAGCGGAGGCAGCAGGTACCTCTGGTCATGGAGAGGTGTCGATTATTGGGGCGCAGTCTACTCCTGAGGCTCAATCCACTCCTGTGGCGTAAGCCACTCCTGGGAATCGGCCTTCACCTCAGAAAACTCCATCTACATCTCAGACCATTTCACCTTCTTCTTCTTCCCGCAAGAGACAGAATGCACCAGATAACGTGTCACTTCCCACATCCTCTCGCAGGCGTCGAGACGGACCTGTGCCACCTCCTGTTGATCTGGTTCCACCTTTGGAGGGTGAGGTTGTTGATGATCTGGATGCACCGGTGCCACCTACGGAGGGTGAGGTTGTTGATGTCGAGCCAGAGGCTTTCAAAGGGGGTCCATCTTATATGTCCATACTTTCTCTGTATCCAGACCACACTGTCAGACATATCTACGACAGAGAGGTAACATTAGTTTAATTATTTATTTATTTATTTACGTTAATTTAAATTGCTGACATTGATTAATTTTAACAATGATTCTTACTGACATTTATTATTTCTGGAAATTCGTAGGTATGTGATCCTCAAAAGTTTTTGAACCGTGGACGGAAGATTTTAGCGTTACATCAGTCGGATGAGCAGTGGCTTCAGTCGGTTTTGACCGCTCTTGGATTGAGTGACATATGTTTGACCAGTTACACTCTGATCAACCACGGGACACTTAATGTATTCGTGGAAAGATGGCATTCTGAGACGTCTTCTTTTCATTTCCTGCATGGTGAAATGTCTATCACCCTAGACGGTATCTCGTCTTTGTTGCATCTTTCGATTAGGGGGAGATTCATCTATCATGGTAGGATGACCAAAGACGAGGCAATCAATATGATGGTGGAGCATCTAGGGGTTGATCTAGTGAAGGCGTTTGAGGAGGTAGATATGACCAGGGGTGCACATGTTAGGTTTTCATTCTTGAAGAGGTTATTTGATTATGAGATTGTTGATGCACTGAAGGCTGATGGTGATGTTGAGCAGGTGACCTTAAACAGGACTCATACTTTGAGAACATATTTTCTTTATTTAGTTGGCATTGTGGTTTTTGTGGACACGAGTGCGACCTATATTGACGTTGCATACCTCTAGTACTTCTTGGATCTCGCACAGACCCATGAGTACAACTGGGGGGCAACTTTCCTGGTCTATTTGTATTCAAAGTTGAGAGATAGATGTCTATGAAGGACGAAGCAGGTCACAGGCAGCACGACACTACTGGTGGTAATAATATTTTATCCTTGAATTTTTTTTTCCATTTTTATTTCATATTTGTGATAATTCTTGATCCCTGAATGCTTTTTTTTCATTTCAAGCTTGGATCCTCCAACACTTCTCGCGCATCACTAGATGGGCGTGTTGGGATGATTACACTGAGGAGATGTCTCGTGTCTGTGCTTTTATCCTGCTGAGAGAGAACCAGACAGTCGAGCCTTTTAGAGTCTATCGTGATCGCTTGGCTGCCGAGGACATCCACTTCAACTGCTACGTGGATCACCGTCAGACACTGCCATTTGATGACAGATCGTTATACTCCGGATGGTTGGCATGCGGATCACGTATCATTGTTCTTCATCTGCACAAGCGCGTCATGCGGAAGTTCGGGTACAGCCAGACCATCCTCAAACACCTTGTTGTCTCTGACCCTCATTCCTTGACTCGCATACAGATAGAGGAGATATTTGTTAATTATCAGAGCCATCTGGTACCGGATGACACTCGGGCTACCGTAGCGTCGAATGACTGGAGCTACGTCGACAGATACATCAGCTGGTTTTTTAGGGTCTCACATTCATACATGGTACCGACTGCTCTAGGAGATCTGCGGAGATCCGCTCATCAGGAGATTCTAGAGGAAGAGCAGGCTCGGGTAGATCATACTGAGGATATCTTGCCTCGGTGTCGTCGCATAGTGAAGATTGTGCGGACAGGCATTGACGAGGGTATATTCCCTGAGGGCTCTGTTGTGCGGTGAGTACTAGATGCCATGGTTGCGGAGGCACATAGGGCATTGTTGTACCGTAGACATCGTACGAAGATGGGGGGGGGGGATCGATGGCCGAGGAGGCAGACCAGGCAGAGGAGGTAGATGATAGATTGTCAAGCACACTCAGTAGTTGTTTGTATTTATTTTGTTGCAGAACTATAGTTTGTACGTTTTTTCTGACATTGTTACTACATTTTGGATTTCGTGTCGTACGATATTTTATTACTATAGTACTTTGTATGTCTGCTATTTTATTCGAGATCGTGCGTCATAATTCATCTGCAAACAAATACACAGCGCGTTATAAAAAAAATTATTCT